CTGATGCCAGTGATATTGGCATCAGTGGTATTTTGTATCAATTGGATGACGAAGGTGAAATACGTATAGTCTCGCTCGCGAGTAGGGTTCTCACTGCATGTGAAACACGGTATACTACCTCGGAAAAGGAACTATTGGCAATAATTTATTCTGTAATGAAATTCAGAATGTATTTGATAGGGTGGAAATTCGACATAGTGACCGACCATCAAGCCTTAACTTTTATGCTCTCGACTCCGTATCAGAACGCTAGGTTAACGCGCTGGATCTTGAGTTTGCAGGAATATCAATTTGATATTTCGCATTGCAAGGGATCAGACAATATAGTGGCGGATTTTTTTAGTCGCAACTTTGGCCGTGATATGATTGTGGATAATAATAATCAATTTCTGATAGCAAAAATGACATGTCATAGTCTCGAGCAAAGAGCAAAAAAAAATCCGACCATCAATGCACGCAATCCTTATATCAAATTCAATAATGAATTGATAAGGGAGTTGCGTGGGTTGAAAGAATTACAGTGTGAAGATGAGGAGATTCAGAAGCTTAGGAAAAATTCTTCTAGTGCAGGGAGAATAAGGGAAGAGGGAGGAATTCTATATATGTCGAATGATAAAGACGGTAATTGGAAGTTGATAATTCCGCGAGTGATAATTGATTCGGTCCTGAAAGCTGTTCATGAACAATTTTGTCATGCAGGTGCATACAAAATGTTCAAGTATATTGACCAGTATTTTTATTGGCGACATTTGCGAAGAGACACAAAGAACTTCTCAAGAAGTTGCGATGTTTGTCAAAGGGCTAAATGTGTCAATCAAAAGACTGAGGGCGCGTATTTAAATGTGACAGCGAGTAGACCGAATGAGTTGATTGCCGTGGACTTTTATGGTCCTTTACCGGGATCAATAGCGGGGGTAAAATACATATTCGTAATACTTGACGTTTTTTCGAAATTAGTGACGATGTACCCTATAAAGAAAGCAAATACCGTAATTTGTTTAAAAAAATTAAAAACACAATATTTTTCGGAAGTGGGAAGGCCGGAGACGGTTCTTTCAGACCACGGGACTCAATTCACGTCACCATTATGGAAAGCGGGACTTGAGGCGGAAGGAGTAAAAAGTATTTTTTCATCGATTAGGCATCCGCAATCGAACCCGGTCGAACGAACGATGAGAGAACTCGGGAGATTTTTCCGGACCTACTGCGCGGAAAGACATACGAGCTGGGCAAAATTTGTTCCTAAAATTCAAGAATGCATAAATTTGATGTGTCATCAGAGCACTGAAACAATTCCATATCAATTACATTTCGGTCGCGCGCCGCGAGATAAAATAATAGAGCTATTTCCAAAATTGAAAACGAATGTACCGTCACATGAAATTCAAGTACAATTAGCTCGAGAAAAATTACAGCAATCGTGGTCGCGTAGATTAAAAAACCAAAAATCGATAAGCAAAATTGAGTATAAAATTGGAGATTGGGTGTTGCTGAGGGTGCCTCACTTATCAGATTCATCACAGGGGGTGATTCACAAATTTTTTCACCTGTTCGAGGGACCGTATTGCATTAAAAAAATAATTAATCAAAACGCATTCGTCTTAGTCGACACCTTGGATGAGAACAAGTTGAAGGGGACGTATAATCGGTTTCATTTAAGAAAATACTATAAGAGGGAAATGACTGAATAAGATCATATGTAATAATGAAACAAAGAAAATAATCCTTTGTGGTTCGTCCTGAAAACCAAGTGTAAGATTGTTCTTTTAAACGAGTTGCTGAGATCTGTCGATGAAAGTATAAAATGTTCGACGAAATATTAATTGTTATAATATTTATTGTAATATTATAAGGGGGATTGTGAGAAATATATGATGATTCGTCGAAATATGGGAAAGAAGGCGTTAAGGTGTGATGGTGTGTGTGTGAGGAGAGCCAGAAATTAATCGTGAATTTGAGTAGTCGAATTAGTGTGGTCAAGACCTCAGTACAGGCACCTCGGTGCAGAGCAGGTCGGCAAGTTGCGTTGCTTAACTTGCAATAAAACGAATTTTTCACAACGCCCGATTGGGGTAAGAGAGTGATAAAAATCTAAATTTTGTTGGATTATTGTTTTATTCGAGTGTTAATTATTTGTTAAATTAAATTACGTAGGTTGGTGCACAAAATATAAGCATCGTGAAGTTCGTTGCTGTGAAGCTGTAATTGTCTACCAAAATATATAGTTTATTCCATTAAGACGTTATTTCGAGAAACAATCGAGGCGAAACTCATTTTTATTATCATTTTATTGGAGTTGGAATTGTCCACCGATCATTTGCTTTGACTAGGAGATCATCTCCGAACAATCTTCTTGACGACTGAGCCACCGAAGTCACGTAGGTCGCTCTCAAAATCATTTTATATAAATTTGCAACGGTGAGTCAATTTATTAGTTTCTCCATACGCATTATTTAACTCGAAAAACATTTTATGTAATTATCTTCTTGACCACACACATCAGCTGTGCCCTTTTAATTTGTATAATAATTTTAGTCGTAAAACCAAATTCATATTCTATTTATTATCATCGACTCCTGAAGGGAATTCACGTTCTTTAATTTTTTTATATAACTATGTGTGTTTCGTATGTGTGTTTTCTAATTTAGATTTTATTTCTGGCCAGATACGCGATAATTTGATTATAATCGAATAAGAAATTGGGATCGAATATAGTTATAATTCTTTGTGAGAGTCTTTTTATAATTGAATTAAATAAATTCCTAGTAAATTTGTGACTTTCTTTATAAATTAAACGTTTCCGAACTGAAATACATTAAGTTGAAAATAAATAAATGAAATAATTGAAAAGTAGTAAAATAAATTTGTTACACACTATTATGGAAAAATTAAAGAAACAAGAAATTATAAAATTCGATTTAGATTTTTTTATCCGAAAAAAAGTGATAATAATACGACACCTTTCTGATATATATGAGAGTGTCTAATAAAAATGTGCAAAAGGCCTATTTTCCCCCGCTAGTTTTCATCTCTCCTCCACTTTTGTTATTAACTCCCACATCAATAATTCTGCTATAAACTGGAAAGAGGAAGTGCCTTGTTGTGAAGATATATATCCGTGAACCCACGTGTTTTTAATTCTTCAATAAACTCGCATTCCCTTGCGTACACGCACCTTGGACTGCAAGAATGTAGTGAAGAACGCGCGCGCTCTCTCGCAAAAGAGTGAAGATGAAAGAGGTAATTGTCTCCTCTCTCTCTCTCGCCACAAATGATGTAGGAAAAATTTATTTATTTATTTATTTACATATTTTAGGTGCATTAGACGTTGGGTTGCTTTTGCACTAATGAAAGATTCCTTCTCAATTTAGTTGTGAATTGCCAGCGTAAATAGAAGCTAGTTAGGTACAATATTACCGGGGTTGATATGAACCAAGTCACGTTTATCTTGTGAAAATGATAGCGCCTCGATGAAGACGTGGATAATCACAGGATATTATGTTTCTTGAAACTTCCATTCCAAGGAATGTTGCCCTGAAACTGTAACTTCTTAAATGAAGATATTAAACTTTTTACAATTTATTTCGTTTCGAAAATATTTTTCAGTATTTTTATTTCCCTATTAGTATTTTCATACAGAAAATACTAATATGAAAAGAAATATGCAGATATTTTTTTCCACACATAGTTTATGAATTTTCTCAAACTTAACAGTTTCTTTAATTTACATCGTCTAACGGGAAAATTGACAAAATTGAAATGTTTCTTTTAATGAAACATTTCGAGATAAAATCTACCGAGGCGAAAAATAATTAATGTTTTGTATTTTTTTCCCCCTAGAAATGTGATTTAGCAAAATTTCACAAAAACATGTTTATAATATACAAGAAGGAAAAGTGTATGTTATTCTAAGGACAATGTTTTCAGCGCATGATACTGGTATGGAGATATTCTACCGTGACGATAATAGTTCGAAGAAACACGAGAGCGAAAGCAATTTATAAGCCATAATTTAACTAGAGACCTAAACCAACAGCAAACCGGCCCAGGACAGAAACGTGCATAAGGTGCGAAGCGATAAATTCACATAATTCACTTATGGAGAATTCCAAACTCGACCTAACGAAGGAAGGCAGGAAATCAAGAAGGGGGACAGCTTCTGAATATGGATGCGCTTTTCCAGCTTTGCGTGTATAAGTTATATACATACTATCTGTTAACTTACACTTTGCTATTTACACTGGGTCATATTTCTGTTTGTCCCATTTTTTTATCCATTTACCTTTAATTTCATTTTAACGGATTAATTTAAAAATCCACAAAAGATTCGAAATTTGGTTATAGTCAGAAATAAAAATTTTTCTATGAAAGATTTGCCCTTTTTCTATAAAATTGATATTTCTATAAATCTTTTATCTCGCAAAAATTATTTAATATTCAAATTAAAAAAAGAAAAAAAGAGAAAACAATCAACAATAAAATTATTTGCCAGAAACGAGAAAATGTGTATTATCAATAACCGCACAAGGGTCTTTCAATGGAAAGCATATTTAAAGTGAACTAGCATGAAGAAATATATATATTTAAATGATCGATCGAGAAATAAAATTGAGTCTGCATTACATGAGCATATCGTGATAAAATTGGCTGTAACAAAATTTTATGGTAAACGTTATGGGATTCCCAGTTATTTATTCCCGGCATATGAGGAGCGTCGCAAAACTGTAAATTTATTGGTCTAAAAAACTACATCGAGAAGGAGAAGAACACATTTATTTTCTCTCTCTTCTTCTTCTTCTTTTTTTTTACTCCTCCTCCTCTATTGTAGTGTGCGATTTATGTATAGTTTCACACGAGAGATCTCTATCGTTATTTGAAAATATCTGATATTTCACACAAAATACATGATGAAAAGAAAATACATATATATATTGAAAAGGCTATAAAAATTTATGGTTTATACGAAATTTATAATTTATGCCTAATATTTGTTGTTTCAGAAATAATGCTAATGTGCTGGAGACGCCTACGGTGCCAATACACAAAAAGGAGCCTCGGGAAAATATTGCCAGAATTGCCAAGCGATATCTTGATGATAATATGCAGCAGGCGTGGATCAATCCTCGTCTAATATCGATGGTAAGTGATTCGCTGGAAATCAATCACAATGAGTGTTTATTTTTTGTTTCTTCTTACCTTTTTATTTATCGAGAGAGAAATAATTTATTTGAATTAAATAATATTGATTTGAACTCTCTAAATAAAATTAGTTATCGTTTTAACAAAAATGTTTTTAAAAAAATTAAAAACAAAATACAAAATTTTATTTTAAATCTGCAATCTTTTTCTCTTACACTCACAGTAAAACGTGAGGTATTAAAAAGTGTTACAGATTAAATTAACACCAAAAAAGATTAAAATAATCAATTTTGGTGTTATTTTTTACAATGAATGGAATTTTGGTTAATTAAATTTTTTTATAACTATAAAACATGAAGATATCGATAACTCCAAATCTTAAACACGGAGTGATCGATTATTATATTATAAGAATATTATACTTTTTTAAAATTATTTTCACTATTTCAATTTAATTATTATTTTCAAAAATTTTTAACTACAATTTTACTTTATATCTATTATTTTTAATAACTTTCGAAAAGGTTCTTTGGGAATTTTCAAATCCATTCATTTACAATATTCAATTTCACGAAATTTCAATTATTATCTAAAATATTAACTAAAATTCATTTTTATGAAACGAAAATCAAATTTTATTAGAAAATTCTACAAGAATTTAATTATTTAAATGCAAAAGTAAATAATTTATTGAATAATTTAATATTTCTAAAAATTCAGTTCTTATAAAGAATTTTACACGGAGAAAAATGGATTATACAACTAGGAATATAGAAAATAAGATCATACTGAATATAATCTGATTAATACACTTTATAATCTATTTACAACATTTAAATGATTTAAAATTATTTCTCGTATTTACAATAGATTATACATTTTATAATCCAAAATCGAATTAAATTATAATTCTAGATTATTACTATAAGGGTGAGGGTCCTACTACTTAAAATAGAAAATAAAATCCTCTATTCTTCAAGATACAGTAGGGCTCAGTCCCTACGTGAATTCTGGTAATTTTCAGACAATTAGAATTACTAAATTTTGAAGAAATAAATTTTTATTTTCTATTTTACAAAATGTTGATTGTCTGATAGCGTTCGGGTGAGGGTGCTACTATTTAAAAATTGAAATAAAATTCTCTATTCTTCAAGATTGGGTAGGGCTCAGTCCCTACTTGAATTCTGGTAATTTTCAGACAAATAGAATTACTAAATTTTGAAGAAATAAATTTTTATTTTCTATTTTACAAAATGTTGATTGTCTGATAGCGTACGGGTGAGGGTGCTACTATTTAAAAATTGAAATAAAATCCTCTATTCTTCAAGATTGAGTAGGACTCAGTCCCTACTTGAATTCTGGTAATTTTCAGACAATTAGAATTATTAAATTTGGAAAAAATAAATTTTTATTTTCTATTTTACAAAATTATGATAGTCTGATAACGTACGGGTGAGGGTGCTACTACTTAAAAATTGAAATAAAATTCTCTATTCTTCAAGATTGAGTAGGACTCAGTCCCTACTGGATTTCTGGTGATTTTCAGACAATTAGAATTACTAAATTTTGAAGAAATAGTGTTTTATTTTCTATTTTTCCAAATTTTGATTGTCTGATAGCGTATATAGTAACTTTTTTTCAAATTGTCATTTATGAGGTTAAATTTGTTTTGAAAATTTTTTGTGATCAAAATTTTTTACATGTGCTGGTATTATAATTTTGCAGGTTTGTAAATTTCTGGTAATTTTGTTTCTATAAATCTTAAAACTATTATAGCATTATGCATATATTTATCATTAGTTAATTATTGATTATAATTATTTTTTATTTTAAATATTACAAGGGAATAGTATTTTTAACCTTTTCTTAAAAGTATTTTTATTACTTACAAAGCATAGATTTTGTGTCTAGTAAGAAATTATTTGTTTGTAAATTTATTATTAATTATTAATTATTTATTATTTATTATTAATTGTTCACTTATTATTATTTATTATTTAATTAGTAAAAATTTTAATAATAGTTTTTTAATAGTTTTATTATTTATAAAAATAATTGAATTATTGCGAAGATATTTATAAAAAAATTTATAAATAATTGAATTTCTGTAAAAAATTTTATTATTTATGAAAATAATTGAATGTTTGCGTAGAATTTTATTTAAATTTTTTTTTAATAATGGAATTCTTTTGGAAAATTTTATTGAAATAGTAAATATTGGAAATTATTGAATTTTAGAAAACTTTTGAATATAATTGAAATTTTGACAAGAATTTGATTAAAATTTTGTAAAATAATTGAATATCAGAGGAAAATTTTATTATTTATAAAGAGAATTGAAATTTTGACGAGAATTTTTTTTAATTTTTGAACACAATTGAATTTAGTAACTATGTTACTAAGTTAGTCAGTAAGTTAGTAATTAAGTTAGTAATTAAGTTAGTAATTAACTTACTAACTTACTAACTTACTATTCTCCCTGGAGATGCTAAATTCTTTGATTTTTTACAAATCGTTGTCTTTGGTGTTTAATTTAAAGTAAAATTTCATTCATAGTTAAAAATAACACCAAAATAGATTATTTTAATCCTTTCTGGTGTTATTTTAACACCTCACGTTTTACTGTGGCTATAAAACAATTTTCTTTATAAGAGTGAATAATTTTATGAAAAAATTAATATTTATATTTTAATTAGTAATATTTTTTTAAAATTAAACTTTCGTGATGTCAATTTAAAATAAAATGAACATCAAGTTCAAGTTTATTAATTGGGCAAAAATTCGTTCAACTGCACTTTTTGCGCAGAATTTAAGTAGTTGTTCCAAATTACCTCTTCTCGTTAATTCGACAGAGCAATTTGATTCAAACTTGGTGTTTTTTTCTTCAGACGTTGTAGATTTTTGCACATTATGCAAAATTTAGCTCGACGGTTCTCTCGAAACGAGGCGAATAGTTGCCTCCGGTTGCTCCAAGTTGTTACTGTAACCTGAGAAATGCACCAAACTCTGAGTGTCTCATTAGATCCAAGTGGTAGCTGTAGTTATATGATTTAAAATATGCACCGGTGCCCGTGATTCGTATACTTTTTTTTAATATTTACTCCGAGTTTATTAAAAAAAAAAAAAAAAAAATTATCAGCCCCAACGTACTTCCTTTTTTAGAAAAATTTTTTTTCAGCTTCAATATTGATTTCTTGAAAAGTTGAAAATATTCATTTAAAGGGTAAAATTAAACATAATTTGTAAATATTGCAAAATTTTGTTATAAATGATTGTGAAAATTTAATTATTATCAAAAGTAATAAAATTCTTAGCCAAAAATTTAGATCAAGTTTTTAATTTGATCCAAATTTTTGGTATCAAATCGTTGCAATTTGATACTTTTAAGTTAACAGTGATTGTAAATGTAAAAAAATTAAAAAATATTGTAAAATTGTAAAAAATTTACAATTTAAAAAAAATGCCCTTGAGGGGAGATATTATAAAAAAAGAGGGGGGGGGTATTATATTAACATGGGGTTGTATTATTCAAGAGCGTGTAAAGGATATACGTAAATGATAATATAATAAGAAAGTTAAACTAACATTATTATAAGTTTTATGTATGAAACGTGTGCATCATTATCTCAAACTGCAATTACTGTCGGTGGAGTAGATTTCTACCCCCCTTTTTTTTAGTAATTGAGAAAGACTGGCTTTAAGCTTCGCGTGAACTCATTATTTTATTTTTAACATTATTTTTTCCTTCTTCATCTTCTTCCTCAGCCGTACTTTGGTTCTTCTCTGTAATTTCTGCCTGTTTCTCGCCTCCCTTAATTCTAGAAAGCGTTACATCGATCTTACATAATAACTTGGTTGCGTATGCTGTTTCTGAATTGCTTCAAAAGTCGATACTCCTGCATTACAAGGTTCTCGATTTACGATCTCACGTTATATATATTACATATATGAAATATTGCTCTATTAATACCTTACTAGATTATTTTGAAATTCAATCATTCGTCATTGACAAATTGCAAACATTATTTTGTAACTCAATTTTTAATTTATTTTTATTTTATTGTATTTTTTTAATTTTTATTTTTTATTTTACCTTACCCTACTTTATTTTATTTTTATTTCAATTTATTTAAATTTAGATTCATTTATTTTAATTTATTTTAATTTATTTTAATTCAGTTTAATTTTATTATTTTTATTATTTAATTTTTTATTTTTATTTTAATCTAATTTATTTTTTAAAATTCAATTTTCGATTTGATTGTTAATTCTAAGTGAAGAAAATTACTAAATGAATTTTCAAAGGAGAATATTGAGCTGTGATGGTATTAATAATGAACTTTCTCTTTCACTGATCGTCATAAACAGCGTTCAATTATTAATGATCGGAAAGGATGAATATATATTGTACCCCTAAGGCGATGTTAAAACTTATTATCGAGATCGTGTTCCGGGATGTATCCTCTTGCTTTAATATAGTTGAAATCCGGGTTGGAATCGAGACAGGAAAAAAAAATTTATCTACATACATATGCAACCGGAATACGTAAATTCTTTTCTAATATAAATATATAACGATTTAATTAAAATACGGTTCAGAAAATGGAGCTAATTAACAAAAAATGAAAATGACATTATTAGAAATATTATACAACTCGTTCGTTTTTAAATAGAAAGCTTGGACTGTTTTTTTTTTGTTTTTGTTTTATTTTCTCCTATTTTCTAACGAACGAAAAGCTAACGTGATAATTGAACTAGATTGTAAAATGCTACGATGCATAATTTACTACTTAATCAAGTGTTATGCTCTAAAAAAGAAAACCGATTTTCCGTTTTAATTGGACAATTTTTCTACATAGACGAACAGTAATTATTGAATTTATTTAGTAAATTATTATTTTAAATGCCATAATAGAAAAAATCACTAAAAATAAAATTAGAAAAATTACATTTCACATTTTTAGAAAATTAATTATCTTATTTTTCAGCTTTACAAAAAA